TTCAAAATTGACAGAGAGGAGCCCAATTCTTACTCTCATCACCAAGTAATCAACGGTACTTTCTGAACCGTACTAGGACGGCCTCATCCTTAGAGTAAAAGCAACTTGAACATATTGGCAGTCCATAAGCAGCAGCCAAGGAGAGAGCCAGGATACTTTCCATAGGTGATTAGAGCCGCAGGTCCAAGAAGGAACGGTGCTCTCTCACAGGAGTCACAATCCACCCATTTGTCAGGTCTCAATCCTACGCAGTGAAAATGGTAAAACCATCAAGCCACGAGTGATCCCGAGAGTTTAGTTCGAATACCTTCACAGACGCAGAGCAAGAGATTCTCTAGATCTGCTGCTGAAGATAGGCCCTCATAGCCGTGGAGAGAAGTCAAACATAACAAAGGAAATCGTGCTAATTGACAACTGGTGGAAACGACTTTGTTTCCTCCGCGCCTATCTTGAACCCAGTCCTTCAGGGTCGGCACCAAACCTTTCTAATTTCAAGGCAAACTTCTCCCCTGTCTGGTGGCCTGCCCAACCTGAGATTGCGTCGTGTCGTCGGCATACCGCTTATACGCCTCAATGTATTTCTCGTCATCACTCCACGTCGCCTTAACGCTCTCCCTGTTCACGGCTGCCTCAAACCAACGATCCCATCGCGCCCACACCTCCTCGTCCTCTCCCCTCTCTCCCTTCTTCGGAATCCCCACCCCGCCAGGCTTGTAGTGATCAATCAAGAAGAGCCTCTTAGCCCAGGGAGCCAGCATGACGTCCACTAGGCTGAACCTCGCACCCAGGAACCAGGGGCCTTCTTCAGCACCCCGCGTCTTGCCGGACGAGTCGAGCATCTGCTGCGCAAAGTCTCTCAACCCCTTCAGAAACTCCGCTCTCGCTTCCTCAATGGAATACTCCTTCCGCGGCGTGTGCTGCAGCAGGCGATAGAACCCCGGCACGATCTTGGTGACAATGTGATTGATCCACAACCTGCACCTCGCCCTCTCAAACACAGTAGCCTCCTCCACCTTCCCTTCCGGCGCAGAGGAGGAGGGCAACAGCCTCGGCCCATGCCTCTCCTCGTCCGCGAACGCCTCATCCAGGTACTCGCAGATGACGGTACTCTCGTACAGCGCCTTCCTCTTTCCTGCCGCAAATTCAATGCTCAGGGTGGGCACCAGGCCCCGCGGGTTGAGCGCTAGCAGCTCGCCCTCCTTCTTGTACGGGTTGATTTCGATGTGCTGGTATTCGAGGCGCTTCTCCTCCAACACGATCCAGGCGCGCTGCACGAAGGGGCAGAACCAGCCGCCATAGAGCTTGAGCGGCTGCGGGGCGGCGTGGCGGGCGGCGAGTTCTGCTGCGGCTCCTGTGGGATGCGGGAGCAAGGAGGTGTCGATGGAGGCCATATTTTCTCTGTTTGGGCTGTATCGTTGTTTGCGGGACAGGATGGATTGTTGTCCTCTCGACAAGGGTTGAGTAAAGGGGGCGAAATGGGATTGCTTTGAAATGTTCTGCAGGTGTTTTCGGAGGTTATGGGCAATGAATGACGTGATGCCGCAGAAGTGGGGGAGAACCGGAGCCGAACGACTTTCTGCCCTGGGTGAAGAGAGTTGGGCTGCAGGTGTCCCACGTCGATTTGGTGGATGGGTTCGACGATGCGTCGTTTCACGGTGGTAGAAGCAAGTCCTCAGCACTGCTTCCACATGGGTTCACTGAGCTAAATATTAACAGCTTCCAAGTATCCATACGGTGCTGGCCCGCATCTGTTGTTACATCAATATCTGAGGTAGGCAGCCAGCCTCAAGAATCTCCTGCGTAGGTACCGGTACTTTACACCCGCCAACATTATCTACCAGAGCGCCATTGTAATCCAACAGTCGCATAAAAGACGCCAGTCACCAAAAAATCACCCGCCTCAACCATACCAGCGCACACTAGTATTCGTAGTCTCCGTCGTCATGGTGTCCCTGCCAAAATACGCCGGCCTCGGCGGCTCCGGTACCCTTCCACCACCAGCATCATTAGGCAGCCCCGGTCTCGGCAGCGTCGCCGAAGGCGGCATCTCCGGCGAGGGCGGTATTCCGGGCCCGTTAGGCTGCGTCGGAGTCTTGATTTCGCTCAACCACTTCATCAGCGGCTTCTGCTGAGGCGGCACAGACACATGCACAGGCGCGGGTGTAGGCGGGCCCGCCAGCGCCACGTACGCCTTCTCATCCATGAATGCGCTCGTCTGCTGCTGCTGCTGCGGCGGCGGCTGCTTGGCTGGGGCGAAGGCTCCTTCCATGTCGTTTGTGCCGTTCTCGGCCGAGTAGGCGGCTCGCATAAGTTCGTCCATGATCTGCGTGTTGGTTTTCACATGGTCGTGGCCGCCGACTCTGCCTGGGAGTGGACCGCCGATGGAGGGCGCATGGGACTCGCCGTCGTCGTCTCCGAGTCGGAAGCGTTTCTCTGGGAAGAAGGGCAAACCGCGGTCGCGGCGCCGTTTGCGCCAGAGCAGGGCTGCGCCGGCTAGGAGGGCGATGAAGGCTGTAGTAGCGTTAGTGAGCAGTTCGACTGGGGGGAGATTAGTATGGGAGAAGGTGCATACCCAGGACTCCGATTACTATGCCTGCCACGGCTCCTGAGCTGAGCTGGTTTTGGGAGGAAGTAACCACACCAAAGCCGCTTCCCTCGCGCTCATGTGCGTGGCGGTCAGGTGGTGGCCGTCCACCGGCTACTTCGGATTGCGCAGCGCCGGTTGCTGGAACCGAAATCGAAGGTCCGTTTGTTGCTGAGACGACAGGTGTCACTGGTGATGTTGACTTCCCCGTCGGCGACGCCTGCGTGAGGGAGGTGACGAGTTCGTCGAGACTCGTGCTCCCGCGGGTCAAGGTGGTGAGTTCTCGCCCGGGTGCAACCGAGGTGACAGCCGGCGGCGGAGGCGTGGCGGTGGCCGGAGCACTCGTCGACTCGTCGGCTGACTCCTCGCCATCGGACTCGGCCCCATCGGACTCAACTTCCCCATCGCCTGCCGCAAGCTGGGAGGCGCCCGCAGCCAATTTGGCCCCTGCGCTGGGCAAGAGTGCAGCACCCCTTCCGGCCTGAACTCCCTCTGACGCAGAGACAAGCGGCGAGGTGACAGTCTTGGTAGGTTCGGCACCGGACTCATCATCGGACTCCTCCTCGGACTCCTCCTCGGAGTCGGAGGACTCGTCGCTCGAAGTATCGGCGTCATCTGCAGAGTCGTCCAGTTCCTGGCGTCGGGCGAGGCGAGCAGCTCGCCTCTCGGGGCTTCTCATCTGTAGCCAGGCATGGTTCCGCCGGCGGAGAGTCGGACCTGTTGCTTTCATGATTGTCGCGGTCGCCAAACCCAACTTCAAGCACACACTCGGAGCACGAAAGAGCAGTGTTGGTAGTTCATCGGCACCTGTCCGAGCTGAAAGATCGCACAGAGAAACGAAGGGAAAAAAGGCCAAGCAGACGCTCAACGCCAAGATTGCAGACCAGCTGCCCTTCCGAAAGAGTCAGGCGAGAAGAAGAAACAAGAGAGGGAGCGGTGTGATCTTCTCCCAAACAGAACGGCGCCAAGGCAGGTCATAAGTCGTCGGCTTTGCGGGCACTCCGGGGGCAGCAACGCGTCAGCAACTCTCAACCCACCTTCCATGTTTTCCCCTTGGGCTCTCAGCCCCTTGCGTCCACGCACGCCGCCATCCGGGGCATCCCGTGTCGAAGCACCCGATTGCCGCAGTGCCCAACCCGGCAGAGCCAATCGTCGACCACAGCGGCAATTCCGCTGCCGGGCCTGTCCTGGTGAGACGGATGTCTGCCGCCAAGATGAGGCGGAGCCAAGGAGTCTTCTCAATCCCGGCGCTTCTCAGCGGAAGGAAGTCTAAATCCTGCAAGTGCAGGCGGCGATCAGACTTCGATCGGCAAAGCGGAGATGGGACAGGGGAAGAAACCGATAATGCAGCAGCCCTGTAAGGTTTCTTCCCGGTTCGCAGGCGCTGATAGGCTGGCTCTTCGGCTGGGACTCACGCGACCACTTGCTGGGTGTGGAATTGCGGAAACAGGTTCGTTCAAAAAAACGCCGACTGATATTTTTGCCCGTTGTTTGATGTCCCGCGATTATGTTGGTATTCTCAGCATACCTAGTAGTATCATACCCAGAAGATGGCGCTCTGTCTCTCAGAGTCCATATGTAATAATGGAATTGGTTCATGGCAAACGTATCGTCACCTGAACCTGCCAGGTGACGAGAACCATCAAGGTGCTTGACGGACGACGGGATTTGGATTGAACTGGTGCAAGTCGAGCCGACAGGAAGTTGCCACTGGGCAGGTGGAACCGAAAAGATGAACTTCCCCTGGCCCTTCGATAACGTACCGGGCTTATTACTGACTCGATGCAACCGGAACCCAAGAAACATCAAACAAATCTAAAATCCGGGTTGCTGAGCTAGGGTTCATAATCACTATTGACCTACTGCACAGTACACTAGGCAGTATCTCGGCGTGTCTGGAGGAGGCCGGTGCCCTTGCACAATGACGAAGCTACCACGGGACTCACAGCTTTCTGGAAGCTCCAAGCCTTCAACCTCACTCAAATCAGGGGTTGCAGAGCCTTGCATTCTCATAAGTATCAAACATGCCAAGATAACAGCTGTGATCTTGGCAAAGTCTCAGATGGTCAGGGATGAAGCTAAGAGTGATCAAGCTTCGGGCAAAGCGATCTTCAGAATCTGCCGGCCCCTCTGATAAGTTACTGCCACAGCTCATGCATCGCCCATTGACCCAGGGGATTGAGATACGTCCGGAATGAGTTGGAGACGTGGCGAGGGGGCCATGGCTGTGAGAGCGCAATTGCACTTTGCAGGATGCAATTGCCCACTCAGATGCTAGAATGCTTGGACAGACGGCAAAAGAAAAAGAGGGGTGAAAAAAGAAAAGAAAAAGGGTAAAGAGGAAACAAAGGATCGATCACTCAACCTCTCGGGACCATGTTCCGGTGCTGTAAAGAGCAAAAGGGAAATGAAAGACGGGGCCACCCGGGGATCGAACCCGGGACCTCTCGCAACGATGCTTCGGGTTTGGAGCCCTAAGCGAGAATCATACCACTAGACCAGCGGCCCTTAAGAAATTACTGGTGTCTCAACACCGTGAGTTCGCACCATCATCCCTATGGCAGAGGATGAGTTTCGAAATCCGGTCAATCAACCAGAGTTGGTGGGTTGAATCTTGATGTCCTAATAAAAATCATTGATTTCGTGACTGTGGCCGCTGCTTGACCGATCATGTGACGGTATAGCCCATGATGAGCGCTGCGAAATGCTGACCGTATCCTATGCATCATGTCTTGCCGAGGTATATGAGGTACCATATATTAACCTTACCTTAGGTGCTGTGCATATTCTCTGACTCTTCCCAATGACCAATATAGTGCCCGGATCAGCATATTGTTGGAGACGCTGACAAGAACCGGATTTTGGTGTGTAGGTGACGGGAACCAGTCTTGTCAGTGTGGCGCCCCGAAGAACGCAACAAGGACAGGACAGGCATTTACCAAAAGATTGAAATCATTGAATACCTAACTTAACTATGAAGAGAGATATTCTTGAAGCCTGAGTTACCTACTGGATTAGATTATAGCCTACGATGGCAATGGCGGTAAATCAAACCAATGCCCTCACAGTGCCTTGAGATTGGACTACTCGAAAACAGTTCCCCGTCTACAGTCACTCCGAAGTCCATCGGCGAGAGGAACTGTTAGGCCGTGGGTTTCTATTTACATGTGTGCCTGTTTTTCTGCCAGGCATTAACATGCTTAGTATCGCTTCCTATCAGTGCTGGATTGATGTTTTACAGGTATCTTGCCACTCAACGTTCGGATGGGACAGCTGAGCTGTTTATATAACTAGGCTTGCACCCAACCCGGATCAACCGACATTCAAGAATTTCAAAATCCCAACCTCGAGCTTACCATTTAAGCTCGCAGCCAGATCACCTCTCAGTATTTCCAGACTTCGGATCGAGTTAATAAACATCAGCCAACGACGAAGCCGCTTCTCTACGCGTCTACCGCAGACTCCCTTCCGTTTTCTCACCAGTCCGTCTCCGAGGTTGAGCAAAAATGGCAGAGAACACAGGCAAGAAAACCAACAAGCAAGACGCCGTCGCCAAGCCGCGCCCTGGTAAGCATCCCCTTTCGCCGCAGCCGCCCTCCGCCGCAGCTGGCAGCACTCTATCACTGTAGCCATGAGGTCCCTGTCCTAAGCTAACAACATCAACTCTAGCAGACAAGCTCACGCTTGACCTCTTCCGCATGGAAACCCAGGCAGATATCGAGGAACTAGCCCGTCGCGTCGTCCTGTCGCAGCTGCAACTGGGCAAGACCCTGCCGAGGATCCGGTCAGACTGCCTGTGGAATCTACACCACAAGAAAGATGCGCGAGACCACGTCAAGAAGTTGCTCAGGGCAGTGGTCGAGCGCGCGGAAAAGCTCCTGGTCGAGGCTTCGGATGCCCACAAGGACCTTAGGAAGCCCGCCGCTGAGAACAACGAACAGCCAGAGGGAGGCGACGAAAGCTCTTTCGACGAAGAGGAAGGCAACGGCCCCGGATAGTGGTGAGCCCCGGGGAACGTCGTCCCCAAACCGGACAACCACGATCCCGACGAGGAGATGCACCATCTCTGGGCCGAGGTCGATGAGCTGGGTCCGTCCAAGGCACGAGGCATGGGCCGTGCTGGAAGGGAATGGGACATTTAGCGATGAGGGAGACCCCGGGTGGGAGTTGGGAAGCCGGTGGTCGAAGACAGAAAGTTGACCGGCGATGTCTCAGCCTGAGAGGTTACTCCGGTTGTCGGTATTGCAGAGCATCGAGACGGATCATCATCCCACGAGACTGAGGCAGACCGTAGACAGGGATTGGCAGTACGCCTTTGGTTCTGTGGGCGTGGACAGCGACGACTCGGCCGACGAGACATATGCCGACGGGTGATCGAGACGGCAGGGGCAACATCGACATTTATCTCTTGGGCAGAACATATGGTATTGGGAGTCATGGTATTGGAGAACTCATGTCAATTGCTCGCCTGAATGTCTTATTGATGACTTTGGGGAGACTGTGGTTATTAGATCACTCATTCATTCACTCATAATGGACGCTGTCCTCGCACAATATCGTATCGTACATGCCACGACTCCTTCAGTTTGTTGAGCCCCTCCCGCCCTGGTCCTTTCCCTCGACCCTTCCGCCGCTGGCACTCTTTTTCGCCAGACCCTTGTCGCTCTCGTACTCGGGCATCGGAGCCGTCTTGTCCGCGCGGGCAACGCGAGTGGACTGCAACAAGCATTAGGAATCTGACGTGAAGAAAGAAATGTAATAAGGTCTGCGCTAATCATACCTCTGGCTGGCCCACGCCGTGGATGATGTTGTGGCCGGCCTCGATCGCGTTGTCTCCTGAGCCGTCTCCTTGGCGAGGCATGATGATGATTCGGAATTGGTCACGAGTAGGACTGAAGTAGGAATGGATATGCGAGTTCTCTTGGTTGTTTGCTCTGCACAAGTAGACACACCTTTTGCGGAAGGGGAAGGACTTATATGTGCCAATGGCCCCTCTCTGGTGACATCATCGGGGAAACGGCAGTGGGGCCGCGCGGGTCGTCCAAGCCGGAGCCGGCCCCACAGACTCCCACGGAAGCTGCATCTTACACGCGGCAGGAAGTTAAGCGCCGATGCCGGACCCACCTAGAGCCTGCGGTTTACGGCTGACGTCAACCCGCCAACCACCTCCTCGAAGACGTCCGTCGACAAAGACAACAAGCAGTTCCGAGTTCGGGGTTCTCATGTGGACAGGGTGGATGATAAGAGACTCTTATAGGCAGGCGACGAGGGGGAATATACCGTGTGAAGAGGAGCATAGAACTGGTGTCGTTGAGTGAGTCGGTTGGTTGGGTTGGTGGATGACGAAGAGAAGGGGTGGAGGGCGACGTGGGATTGCCCAAGGCGTGTACAGTAAGTGCCCTTCGCCAGGCGGGTATGATGAGTATATCCCTGGTCTGTATCTCTGAGCGGCGGTTGCCGAATGCGAAGCTCGGGGGAAGAGAGTGGGAGATCGACGGGCTTGAGGAGCACAGGTAATGATTAAGTTGAAATAGATGAGGATATAGCTTCTAGACAGTGGAGTTGATGGGGTGCGGCTGCGTCTTGCTGCTGTTGTACTTGTTGTAAGAAGGACTGAGCTGTTTGAAGTCTGCTTGACTCTATATTATGTATGGTATGGCCCTCTATATGGAGTCTTTCCCCTTTCTCCATCTACCGCCGCGCATCTATCTGCGTGTACATCATACCTAGGGACTCTATCACTCTTGGTACTCAGCCGCTAGAGCTTGAACTTCTTCGCTAGCTCGATCCCCTCGGCGAGGTTAGCTATCCGCGCATCAATGGCATAACCCTCGGCCTCCAGCTTTTTGCACTCCTCCCAGAGGGAGTCCAATCTGACGAGAAAGACTTCGATGAACTCGTTCTCTTCAAGCTCGGGCTTAAGATCTTGGTTCTCAGGAAGGCCCATATCGACGCTGACGTGGACCATACGCAGGTTGGTGTTGCAGAAGCCAGGGTCTACCGGATAGGTCAGAAGGATATAAAGTCCGGGCGGCTGGTTCAAGACTAACCGTTGAACATGATGGGCGATGTCTCGAGCACCTCAGCCACATAACCTGTCTCCTCCTTGAGCTCTCGGACCGCCGCCTGCTCCGCCGTCTCACCTTCGTCGACGAGCCCTGCAGGGAGCTCAATGACAATCTTGTCCAATGGGGGACGGTACTGTTTCTGGAGGACGATCTCAGGGCCTGCAACTTTTTGGTTGGCCCTATGGGACACACGCGGACCGAAGCGATGGACGTCATACCAGTTTCCTTTTCCAAGATTGCAACAATCCCGACACCGTCGATTTCGCTGTCCTTTGGCCGTGTGCGCCGCTCCGCGGACTCCCATGTCCGCTTTACGCCCTTGGGGTCTCTGTATGTCTTCCTTGAAATCTGTCAGGTCCCCATGCTACCGGTGGGATTTATTCTCCTACGACTGTAGGCCGGCTTACTTCACCAGCTTTGTCCACACCGCCTCGCTCTCGAGCTAAATGCAGAGGTTAGTATTCCTAGATTAGGTTGTCGTGGGATTGTTTAATTCTCGACTTACAAGGGGCTCTGTAGAGATAACTTTGGCTTCGCCGTCTGACATGGTGCTTGTAGGTGTCAGTCAGGACAGTATTATGAGTGCCTTGATGTTGTAAGTCACAATTTTGTGGTAAGAATTTCCAGGAAATGAGAATCGTCTGGTACATGTCCCTAAAGTACCTTAGGTAAGGTACCGCATCACAGGACACCGCCGGTTTGTGAAGATCGTGGCATGGCCGGGCCCGGCCACATGGCTCCGTAGTGGGGCCCCAGGCGTCATCCAGTCAGGTCATTACGGATCCGTTCAGCAATTGGTAACCTGGTAGGATCCATCCCTCAGTCTGCGCCGATCAACGGTCGCGTTTCAGTTGAGGGTGAATTGAGTGAGAAACACCGCTAGGCAAATCCATATTGCATATGATAACGGTGTATTCTCAGGGTGATACCGTAGTGGGTTGCTGGGCGGCTACTTCAAAAGTCCCATGCCGCAAACTTGGCCCGCCGAGTACTAAGAATCGAAAGACGAAACACAGCCAATGGCTCCTCAAAAAGGCAATGCTGGGGGCTGACGTGTTTCTTCTGCAGCTTGCGAAGCATGACCAGCAGAATCGGGAGCTGCAGGGTGGATTCTTTTCCCTACCTTCCTCTCACCCTTTTTTCGCTATTATCTGAGTTGCAAAGTCCCGAATTCCAGACGATGCGTCTGGGAGGATGCCCCTCGCCGTGAGTCGAGAATCGCTAGGTACGGTAGCCCCCTTGCAGCTCGAAACGTCATATGGGACCGTACTGTACAGTACATACCTTACTTTGTACTTACATTTACATACAGTATGTACACGTATCTTTGTATGTACGTACATCCATACACAGCAGTGGCTTGGAGCTTAGAACGTTTTTCTTCTGTTTGCGTACCGCTGTACAGTCCAGTACCATGTCGTATACAGAGATACTCGAACG